CAAGGAGAGTAAAGAAAGAAAAAATAGGGAGAACTATACCAGTTGTAGCTATTCTGTAGTCCAGAATCAGATTTCTTTTCTGCTAGTCTGTTCGATCTGTTCTTTGGGTTGATCGATCTTCTCTTGAYAGTAGGGTTGATCAATCTGCTCTCTTTTAATCAGCATTCCCGCTCTGGTACCATCTTGACAGTGTAGCTGGCCAGAGATAAGTGGAAGAGGAGAGAAGAGAAGAGAAGAAGAAGAGAAGAGAAGAGAGGAGAGAAGAGAAGAGAAGAAGAAGAGAAGAGAAGAGAAGAGAGGAGAGAAGAGAGAAGGTTTGCAATGTAACAGTACTGGCGGCACCAGTGTTTATTTTACTATATATAGGAAGACAGAAATAACAAGGGAAAAGACCCTTGTGCTCCTGAGTACAATAACAGACATAACAGAAATAAAAAAAACGAAATAAAAAACACTTTAATTAGCCAAACAGGCCCTAACATCTGCAACTAAGTTATTTTAACATTATTCCAACATACCTTATGTACAATATCTTTTATTTCTCTATTGTATATACAGCTCTTTCTTATTTGTTTCAGTGGAGGGCAAATTTTTCCTCTCCCTCCTTTTGTACTCAAATGATATATAATACAATTATTTGGGCATGTACACATTAGACACACCCTTTCAACTTCTTTGTGTACTTCGAACCGTCTCTGACATACAGTTCCATAGGAGTCTTGTTTTAGTGGAGGTACTAGGGTACTGGGCGACAAGAGAAGCTGCATGAATAATGAAAGCCTAGAGATGTGTATATGCTTGAAGAATTGCCTAGAAGCTGAAGACAGACTACAAGATCAAGGAGGGCATGGCACTTCACCTAATGTTTCACCGGAAGAAGATGATGTAGATCAAGGTCTAGGAGATGGAGGTGGAGCATGAAGAAAATAATGAAGCCAATATTTTTTTTGTATACTTATTAATTGTATAGCATTTTTAAAGTTATTGTAGATTTTGTTTTTCAATTTTATTTAAATTATTTGTTATCTTTTCAACACCATTGTAAATTTTTATTTTCAATTTTATTTTATCATTTTTATATTTTTTTCCAATTCCAATATTCCATTGTATTTTTAGTTTATTTATTTACTTTGTATTCATTAAATTCAAATGAAATAAAATTTCTAAAATTTTCTTTTTAATTTCTAAAATTTCTAAAATTCAAATAAAAAAATAACAAAAATGTAAAAAAAAAAACAGGCCCGGCTCGGCCCGTAGCCCGACCCGGCCCGCCTGGGCTCGTGCCGCAGGCCATGCTGGGCCAAACCTTTTAGGGGCTCCAGGCCAGGCAAGCATGACCCACTTAGGCCTGCGTGTCGGCACAGCCCAGCCTGCTAAGGCATAGACGGCCCTCAAAGTTTTTTTTTTATCAGTAAATATGTGTTTTATTAAAATTCAGATTCAGATTGTAAACATTTTATACAAATTAAGGATGGGACTGTTGATCCCTTTTCCTCACTCTATTCATCCGTCATTACAATGAAGCCCAAAATAATTGCTGTCTCAGTGCCCCTTGTTCTCATAGACGGCCCTCAAAGTTGTGTCGTGTCAGCCCAGAACAGCTAACTTTACACCTCTAGACCCTAGTCCTGTTCCCTATAGTAGTATAGGTATGGATTTATAATAGGGCTACAACAACCCTACAATCTCAGCCCTTGATCTTTTATCATTCTAATCTAATCTAGACCCTCCAAGTACATTAAAAGTCACATGCTGGTCACAAGAGTGCATGTCCTTTTAATAAAGACTAAGAGTTTTCTTAACAGACCACTAACCATGGTGAAATAAAAGACTTGAATAAAAATTGATTAAGACTCCAAAATTCTGGACAAGTTCCAACAAGCTAGCGGGCCTTCTTAACCTTATTTTGCTTCTTGGATGCTCTTGCATCACCAGTCTGATTGGGCAAGATGAGAAAACATGGACTCCCAAAAAATTGTCTTTACGAGTCTGACTTAGTACCTGCTTTGAAGAATTTAAACTGCATTGGGACTAAACCCTCAGCTTGATCCCCTTCAAATTTTAAGAAATGCTTAACCCAGAGCCACACAAAGTGCACCCCTAATATGGTACTCCCATAAGTCTCACATATGAAAGTATTCAAAAAGTCATGAGTAAACTGTGGAAGGTCCCCTACTTCATCAGTTTCTATTGCCCTATCCTTTCCACCATTTCCATCTATGATGGTCAAAGCCTGTCTATGAATCTCCTTTTTTCTTTTTTCTTTTTTTTTTTGAGTAAATAAAAAAAGAAATTTTATTGAAGAAAGAGGATACAAAAAGTGATAAGGAATCACCAAGAGAAAGTATAAAAGAAAACCTCCGACCCAACCCTCCCTCAAGAAATTCGAACAACTTTCCGAAACCCAAAAGAACAATACAAAGAACCCAACCCAAAAATTAAGACAAAACCAAAGATAATTACATAGTGATACTAATCCCATGTTCCCAACAGCCACAAAACATAATCCGTATCCCCCTAACCCTCCAAAAGTACAGCTTCAAAACCAATTAAAGAGCCCCAATACCAAAATTTAACCCTAGGTACAAACACAAGCTTCCAACACTGAACAGCATCACATTTTGTCTGAATCTTCATCATTTTAAATGCTTGAAATAGCAACCTCTCTTCTTTTCTGATGAGTGGAAAAAACTACAAAGAATAGGATCAGGAATGAAGAAAACTGTAGAAACCTAGGAGTAGCTCCAAAAAGTGATAAAACGAGAGAGTAAGTTAACCCTAGGTACAAACACAAGCTTCCAACACTGAACAGCATCACATTTTGTCTGAATCTTCATCATTTTAAATGCTTGAAATAGAAACCTCTCTTCTTTTCTGATGAGTGGAAAAAACTACAAAGAATAGGATCAGGAATGAAGAAAACTGTAGAAACCTAGGAGTAGCTCCAAAAAGTGATAAAACGAGAGAGTAAGTTAAGATGGTCTGGTCACATGCATAGAAGACCACCAACAGCTCCAGTTAGAAGAAGTGATTTGTTACAAGAGGAAGGGGCTAGAAGAGATAGGGGTAGACCAAAAAGGACATGGGCAGGAATAAGAAATGATTAAGCACTAATAGTTTAACAGTTGATATGGTCTTAAATAGAATGGATTGATGAAACAGAATTCATGTAACTGACCCCATATAGTTGGGATAAGGCATGGCTGATGATGATGATGATCCTCTTCCTTGGCCCAACCCCAAATAATCCTCCCTTTAATCTGGCAAACACTTTTAACACTTGCACCATCTCTGTATTTTCCTGACTTCTGAATCTTCTTGTTGCATTAGGATTCCGCTCCATACTCTTCAAAGCCAGAGCACCAGCATTGATCTTTTCTAACTCTAAAACTGCATTCTTCTCAAAAAGTGATCTGCAACCAATTCTTCTCCCACTTTAATTCCCTCCCCTGTATCTTCACCTGTCATCAGACTATCTTGAACAATGGAAAGTTCATAATTACCAACAAACTCATCAAGACCCAATCTGTTTTTCTCCCTCCCCTTTGGCAGCCCCCAGTCCTTTTCTTCCAATTCCTTAAACATTTAACATTTTCCTTGCATTCCCCCCCCCAAGAAAAAATAAACTACTCACCACCATCTCCAGGATCTATAGAACTACTGATTTCATGTGTCTCATCTAATAATAGCATCATCCTCATTTGACTCTATAACCACATCAGTGTCATCTTCTACCCATTTATTTTCCTTCAATGGTTTAGCTATATAGTTTCCCGTGTCTCATCTATGCATCTCCTTTACCAGCCTTTACCAACCTGAGGTTTGTTTTACCATTTCACCAAGTAATGGCCTTTAAAAGAATACATCATGATTAAATTTAGTATTTGTAGCTCAAAGAACTGTTTACCTGTGCATCTGTACCCCCAGCACCAGCTGTAATAGAGATAACAGCACCATCCTTGTCATAAGGCCCAGAAAGCAGCTGAGTCAACTCAAACTGATCCAATGCCTTCTTCAAATCTTTAATGATATTAGCAGCCTCTTCAAGAAGCCCAGTATCTATGGATTCCATTTCCTCCGTCAGCTTTATTATTGTTTCTGCATCTTCAACCTGCATCATATATATGACACATTGCATAGTTACATCCAGCACAAGAGGGTTACAACTTGCAAACTTAAGTGAAGTTCTTAGGTCATTTTTTTTATATTGAGAGAAGATGAAAACATTGTATTTATAGATGCCTGGCTGTTTTGAGAACGTATAAAAATAATATAGAAGCCGGTATACAGTACTTAAAGTGCATATGCCATATTTGCTAAAGCCTTATCAGCAAGGGATCAATGGTCTTTTATGTCTCTTTTCTTTTCTCTCATAATGTTACTTAAGGGTAGTGATGTAATTTTAAATTATTTTGAAGTTAATTATTTTAATGGTTCAGTTGGTTGCAGTCCTGGGTTGGAAAGAAAAGAGAAAAAGAAAAGGGGAAGAGAGAAAGAGAAGGAGAAGATGAGAGAAGAGAAACAATGGTCTCAACTAGAGAGAATGATCTCTCTCACCCAGCCGAACTCAACTTTATATAGATTAGCCAAAGTATACAAAGACTATTATGCCCCTACTTAAGTATGGGACATGTAACTTAAAGAAAAACAAAAGAGACAAAACACAGCTTAATAAATAAGAGGAAAAAGACTTAAACAACCCTACTCAGCCAACTCTAACACTCCCCCTCCGGCTAGAGAGTATATGCCTTATAGTCCCAGCTTGTTACATATGTAATCCACTTTTCCCAACTCAAACCTTCCGTAAACAAGTCCGCCCACTGATTTCCTAAGCTCACATGCTCTATGCTAATCACTCCACCAAAGACTTTCTCTCTCTTATAAAATGGTAGCCAACCTCTATGTGTTTTGTCCTCTCATGAAAAACTAGGTTAGATGAGATGTGGACTGCAACTTGGTTGTCACGGTACAATCTCATAGGGCTATTAACTAACAATCTCATCTCCTATAGGAGATTTCTCAACCATACTAACCCACACGAAGTGTGTGCTATAGCCTTGTATTCAGCCCAATCTGCATCAATGTAGCCAACTATTTCAAGACTCCCTCCTGACTTGTACAACAACCCAGGGCCCGATGCTTCCTTGTCCCTTCAAATACAGCACAAATCTAAGAACTGAATCCTAATGAGGAATCCATGAGTTTTGCATAAATTGGCTGACCACACTAACTACAAAGGAGATATCTGATCAAGTAATAGTTCATTTTAGCTTTCCGCCTTTCCCACTAACCGTTTGTACCTTCTCGGATCATCAAACATTTCACCTGTATCAATGCTCAATTTAACATTTGGCTCCATGGGTGTTCAACTGGTTTATCACCTAACAGCCCTCTCTCTTCTAATAGGTCAAGAACATACTTCCTTTGGTATAAATTGATACCTTGCTTCAACCTTGCAACTTCTATACCCAAGAAATACTCCAACCTGCTGAGATCTTTGTAGAGAACATTAATGTGGGCCCCACAGCTGTGGTCCCACTCTGTCCGTAGGGTAGAATGTATCTAGTCACAGCTGTGGTCAATTTGTTATTCTGTTATTCCTAGTTGTTATTTATTTTTCAGTTTTATATTGTTGTGTTAGCAGTTATGATGTAAACAACTTACAAGGAAAAATTGTTCGCTGCCTTCTAGGGTTACCCG